CGCAGTAGCCATGATGACCTGAGCTCCTGGTGCCCTTGCCTCCTCCTCACCAGGTCTGGGGTTACAGGCACACACCACCACACCTTGAATACAAGGCAGGTTCTTTATGAAATACCTGTGTATTTGTTGGATTAATTCAATCAAAAGACAATATTATCATCCTCCCATTTGCCTATCATTGTCTAATCCACTGACTAGTAAACTGCACAAGAGCAATGCCTCATTATATGCTGGTCACAAAGGAAAACGATGATGGCCCGCTGGCTTTTCCATGCTGTGGGGTCTCCCACACCGTTATACAGGCCATGAGGTTCCAGGCACAGCCACAGGCACAGTAAAATTCTATAAAGCTCCATAGAACCTCAACATCTCTTTCTGTACTCCTCCACAACTGTGACAATGAAGAGACCTTGAGCCTGCATTGGAAGCCCCATGATGTCCTGCTCTTAAATACCAGTAGTAGTTAAAAAGAAATGGCATGACAAAGCTCCTATTTTCAGAAGGCTTTAGTCCTGCTTAGTGAAAGACTAAAAGCTAAGAGAATCTCTGCACACGATCGAACAAAAAACCATCAGGCATGTTTCATGTGACATTCCTTTGCCTGCTTTGTCATGGGAAAGAAGCTTCTAGGCTACTCTGGGCCTTGGTCTGCAAGAGGTCAAGAGCACTCAGAGGGATAAAGTATGGCTGTCACCCAGCGAGTGTTACAATTTGCCAGCACAGTGCATCTAATTATGCATCAACTAACTCTGTGTAGTTGTCCTGGGGACCAGAAGTATGAAGTCAAAGTACCAGAGGAGGCGTACTCCTCTGCTAGCTGGTGATGGTGGGCAGTATCCTTAGTGCCCAGCACCCTTAGTCTTCATACCCTAGCATCCTCAATTCTCCTGCATCCTCGGTGTACAGACATCCTCGGTTTACAGGCATCCTCGATCTTCCTGAAACCTCAGTGCTCCCACCTACTTAGTCTTCTAGTGCTCCCAGTGTTCCCACACCCACAGTTGCTAGTTTCCAAGTCAGTATCTCTGTCACCATCTGTGTTCCCCGTGGCTGGAGTTAGGTTCTCATTCATTCATTCATTCATTCATTCAGAACATGTCAGCGGACTGTACATGCAAAACAGCTCCACAGACAATTGAGAATGTTAACTATTATTTGTTGAACATCAATTATGTGCCAGCGTTGTGGGTGAAGCCACTTTAGTCCCCAAAACAACCTGCTAGATGGCCTTTATCTTTTCTGTTTCACCGAATCAAGCATAGCAGACAGGAAGTGTTTAACTGGTCCTGGGTCATACAAGAGAGGCAGGGCATCTTGGCTCCCAGGCCCTCATCCTTCCCATCATATGGTAGTCTCCCCTACATTGTCCCTTGGTCGGGGGAGATTACCTACTGAATAAAACATTGCAGACATGAAGACAGATCACCCTAGTCACGAATGGAAGAAGGAAGCCAGATGAGAAAGGGCATGGGCTAGGTTTGATGGGACAAGGAGACATCTGGAGGATATGTCTGCTCAGCACACCCTCAGAAAAGGATGTCCCAGTCAGACAAAGTGGTGGGTGTCCCAGGCAGAAGGGAGGTTGGTGACCGAGGGTCATCAAGAGGGAAGTTCAGCCACGGTGACCAGGGCTCCACCCCTTACTCCACAACACTCTCACATGACAACCCAACAACCCCAGAGGCAACACCGTGGCACCAGGAATGTCGGTGTCCTGCTTGGTGGTTGCTGTTCCATCATTAGCCAAGGGCACTCCATGAGTGCTCACTGCTGGGTACCAAGCACTGCCGTATGCAGGGATGGCCCTGTCAGAGAGTGGATATGGTAAGTTTGGAGAGGCTGTGTCAGCACGTGCCACCTCAGCACAGGGGATAGACGTGGCAAGGAGAAGGGACAGGCTTTGATAGTCTCACTGGTGTAAGTAAATGAGACTGAACAGTGTCAGGTACTGTTTCCCCATGTTGGACATGACACCGCCATCTTGAAGCAAAGCATCCATGATGATCCTCATGAGAACTCAGACCCATTGACTCCCTTGAGGAGGGAGGGAAGGGGCTAATGGGACCATTACAAGACCTTCCTGAGGGCCTCTGGAATCTCCCCAAGATTTCTGTCTCACTGTATAAATGGACACACTTGCTGAACCCCAGTAAGCTCATTGGTTCACCAGGCTGGGCTTGAACAAAGCCTTTCCTTGGTCTGACCATGTCCTCCCGTCTGCATGAGATGTTTCTTTAGGTCTCCTCAGGGAAAGTCCCACAGCATCATGGGATTGGAGAGCTGAGTTCTGTTGCTGTGAACTCAGCTCCAGGGGCAGACACCTTCTGGGCTCTCAGAAACACCAGTCTCTCCCTCTGTATTAGTTAGTCACACAACACCCGGTGGGAAGCAACTGAGGAAGGAAGGGTTTATTTGGGCTCATGGTTTGTGGGCACAGTCAGTCCTGCTGGGGAGGGTAGGAGAACAGGGACTGTGCTAGCCCACAGCCCAGAAGCAGAGAGACAAGGGCTGGAATCCTCCTTATTTAGTCTGGGACTCTAGCCCATGGATGGTGCCACCCACAGATAAATGAGTCAATTTAGAACACCCCCCCCCACACACACACATACACACAGACATGCCCACTAGTTTGTCTCCTAGATGGTTCTAAGTCCAGTTCAAACGGTCAGTGAAGCTAGCCGTAGCACCCCCATCCCGACCTTAGACATGGGATGTTTTTAAAGCCACACCCCACCCCAGACACCATGCCTGCAACTCCCGTGCTGAGGTTGGATGAACAACAGGTACCGGAATTCCAGAGAACAGAGAGGAATGGGCACATGTGCCCACGGGTGTCTGCATTGCTCAAATTCCAGGCTGTTCTTCAGCTGCTAAAGGTTCCCCTCCTCTAGCTGGGTCAGACATCCTTCAGTACCCCCCCCCCCATACAGCTTATGCCTAGGTTGTCATTCTCATAAAAACATCTCTGGTTGGAGAGGGTCTCACGCTGTAGCAAGAGCCCCAAACCTAACGCAAGCAAAGCCCCAACCACAGCACTATCATTCACAGCAATCATAGTAAGCAGGGGTGGTGCAGCTCAAGCATAGCTGCAAGTTAGTGAGCGAAAGGGTGGCCCAGTGGTCAGGGTCTGGAGGAACTGCCATGCACTGGAAGGGAGGAAGGGGTATGCTGGAGGGTGGGGCGTGCGTGCGTGTGTGTGTGTATGTGTGTGTGTGTGTGTGTGTCCCTTTGGGAGGAGCATGCTCTTTGCCTCACCCCAGGAGGTGCTTGACAATATCCAGAGATCTTTTAGATCATCATAGCTGTCCAGGGACGGTGTCAGGCATCCTACCATGCATCAATGCCTCCCGTCACCCCCGCCACACACACACTCACTGAAGCACCTCAACTCAAGATGCCATTGGTACCAAAGTAAAGATCTCTGTTATAGGGGAAGGTTCTCGATTTACCATCTGAACCATGCTAACAAACATCACCCTGGCACCTGTTCTCTGCCAGGCACCTCCTACCTAATGCTGGGAGAAGGTGATGGTGTGGGGGGGGGGAGGGGGATTAGTGATCCAATAACATGCAGGAGGGGATGCTGGGAAGACAAGGTGCAGAGAATGAGAGACTCGGACCCTGGAGATGTCAGCAAGGACAAGGCTTCAGAGGGGAATTATGATGAGCTCTGTGTATTGAATTAACTTCAAGGTAAAGGGAGGATAAAGTTTCCCATATTTTGTAATGGGAATATGCATGTCAAGAAAATGAGAGAAATATTTTCCCACTAGCAAACTCCAGGCCTGGTTTTTGTATGTTTGTTTTTTGGGGGGTTGTTTTTTTTTTTTGTTTTGTTTTGTTTTGTTTTGTTTTCCCCTGGATATTACATCCTGAACTTGGAAGAACATTTCAAAACACAGTGGTTTGGTGTGCAGTGCAAATCCAGCTACTCCTTATCTGTACCCTTAATCGGTGCAGCAGAAGCATTAAATCACATCTTCCAAAGAGATGCTTGGGAGCAGCTTGCAGTGCCCCTGCAGCCCCTCTGGGCTTGCTGCCTGGAAAATCTGGAGTCTGCTTAGACACTTTCCTTTCCTGTCTAAAAAGAGCAGCTTCGCAAACCTGAGGGGCACAGCCGTGTCATTAAGGACACTGCCTGCTGTGTCTGGAATGGACTATCCACAGGAAACACCGCCATGGCCTCCTTTCCCTGTAGGGGGAAAACTAAGGGTGATAAATATTCAAGCTTCTGCTCTGAGACCATGCTGTGTGATCTGGCTCTGGCGATCCCAGGGGTCTGCTTGTGCAAGGGTTAAAATACATTTTCTCCCATGGCTGGGAATTCACAGTGCTTGATGTGGAAATGCAATCCACCAAGAGAGTGTGTGGATCTTTACCCTCCTGTTTGAGACATCCAAATTCCAGAGGGCCATATATGGAAAAGGCTTCAATAAGGGACATTAGGTTCAACCCTCTTCCACCCAAACAGGCAACTTTAGGGTTGGCAAACTTGTGGCCAGGTGGCCATTGGCATCCACACATCCAATGAGAATGGGTCAGGCAAACAGGAGGTGCTCAGTGAGCTTCACCGCAATAGCTGATCTGGTGTGGGAGCTCTAAGCAAGGTTTGGCATGCTTGCTGCTATGCAATTTCCCCCCAGCATGAGGGGCAGGGTTGCACATAGAAGATGAATAGGACAACCGTTCCTGAGATGGATTTGAACATTGGGCATGCTCTGCTTCTCAATGTGTGTGTGTGTGTGTGTGTGTGTGTGTGTGTGTGTGTGTGTGTGTGTGTCAGGGGGTGGGCAGGTGAATGATAGACCCAGGTTCTAGCTCAGCCCGCTTGGTGACCTCAGGAAAGTTGGGCCCCCATCTCCCGTTTTCAAACACAGTTTTTTTGTAGACTCCATGGGACCCTCACAAGTGTATGTCCAAGGTAGTGGGTCCCATCCATCCATTCAGGGCAAGCATCCTAGAGAACCAACATCCCAATCCCTGTTGGTCCTTCTTCACAGCCTTCCAAACATTTCTGGGCAAAGCAGATGTCTCCGAAGAGCTGCAGGAGGCCCTGGCTGAAAGCCGCGTGCAGAGGAACCTCCATCTGCTGTCCGTGCTGGAGCTGCTGAGGGCACCCTTTGTCCGCTGGCAGGTCATCACTGTCGTCGTCACCATGGCCAGCTACCAGCTGTGTGGACTCAACGCGGTGAGTACACTCCCCCACCCCAACACCAGCATCAACAGAGAAACTGAGGAAGGCCAGAATGTGGGTGGCTCAGCGTATGAGCCCAGGATGTCAGACTTCAGACCCCAGCTCTGCGATGTAAGCCTCCACTGAGGCCGTGCCTTTGAACATCTGCGGAACTTGGCTGGTCCTCAGTTCCCACCTCTGTAGAATGAATGGATAAAATGGAACGGACTTATCCACACTGCCAGCATAGCTTGTGCCTTGCACTGCCACCTGTTGTCCTTCGTTGAGTCCCTGGAAACAAAGTATCACAGCTCTCAATAAACAGACACAGGGAGTCAAAGGGACAGAGAACCAAAATGATTTAGATAGAAGCAGTCTTGGCGGTGTCGGCTTCATCCTATCAGAGCCCGAGTGAGCTGAGGCCTCCCTGGAGGCCCCAGGCCTCTAGCTCTCTCCAGTGTTCCAGGAGGTAAAACCCCCAAGTCAGAGAGGTTAGGAGTGTGATTGCTTCTGGGGAACCCAGTGGGATGCCTCACCTTGGGCTGTGGTCAGTTCTCTGTCCACTAAGGATGAAGACGGGCTTCCAGGCACACAGCACTGAGAGCATTAAACAGAGGGAGGGAAGGGTAGTAGGGAGCCCCCCCCACACACACACCCAAAGAGCCCAGATGATGGAGCGGAGCGGAGCATTTATACCTGCTCAGCAAGTCCGGTTCTGTTGTGGCACTTACAGATGGGAGAGGGAGTTGCAGCAAGGCTCCTGTCCAGAAAAGGGGAAACGACCGCCTGGGAAGGTAGCAGCCACACATTCTGCCAAATTTCAACATCTCCAGAGTCTATTCCCGGAAACTCTGGTGTAAGATGAGATCACTTTGTTCTTTAGTCATTCCCCCCCCCCCACTTTCTTTCTTTCTTTCTTTTTTTTTTTTTTTTTTTTTTTTTTTTTGCCTTGGTCAGATTAAGCTAGAACAATGTGGAGTGGGGGAGTTAAGAGCTCAACCTAAACCCAGAGTGGCCACTGCTGGTTCTGCCATCCCCCCCCCCAGACTAGTTCAAGGTCAGGTGTATCAGACCCTCCTTGTTTTGAAGGAAGAGGAGGAATGCACTGTTTCCTGAGGCTCAGACTTAGAGTCTTAAGGACATGTGACATCCACGCCTAATGATGGAGAGCCAGGACATTGCTGGGCAGACCCTTCTCCTCCACAGGATTTAATCTCCCATCTGCATACCCTGTAACAGAGGAACTCTGCCAGTGTCTCCATGCCCCGATGCACAGAGGTGTGCCAGCAAATCTATCTGGTGGGCTGCAAGGTGGAGACTGTTTCCACCTTCCTGGATCACATGCTTTCCCTGACACAGGACAAAGCTTTGGACCAAGTCAGCGGCCTGGTTTCCCACCTCGCTGTCACCATGTGCCTATAGCAAGCAATCTGGACCATCTCTGCTTGCCCTGGCCCGACTCTATGAACTCAGCTGTGGTCCTGATCGGGTGTACACATTAGCACCTTCTGCAGCCAGGAGATGTCCTTGGGGCCCCAAAGTTAAGCACAGAGACACTGAGACATTTTCCCAAAGGTTCATAGCTAGTAGGAGATTTGAGCACCAATTGTCTGAATCCCAAGTTCTAGGTACTTAAGCCCGAAGAAGTGAGGGCAAGTAGGTTCTATCCAGCAGGGATGAAGCCTAGGTGAGCACCAGAAGACGTTTAATAAATGAGCAAGCCTTTCCCACCTAGGCCTCAAATCAGAGCCATAGATCACTGTCTGTGGAAAGAACCCATCCCTGGGAAGAGCATAATACAAATGAACCACACCTCTCCAGTGTAACCCTTCCTTTTCACTACTGCACAAAACAAATCACAGCGCTAACAACCAGAGGCTTCAAACCACTCGTTACCGTGCAGCTTACAAGGCCAGAGGTACTCAGATCAAATCAGGCTCACTCCTCCTGGCCATGCCAGGAGAAAACCCATTCCTCTGTTTCCCCGGCTTTCTAGAAGCTGCCTCGTTTCTTTGGCTTGTGGCCCCCTTCTTCCATCTTCAGGGTCAGAAGCGATACAGTGTGTTTGGCTTTCTCTCCCTTCCTCCTCTCCCATCCCTACATCTATGACCAATTCTGCCTCCCCATTCCCCCTCTATAATGAGTGATAGCATCTACAGCCCTCTCAGGCAATCCAGGAAAATGTGCTGCCTCAAGGGCCTGACCATGTGTAGAGTCAGATTTGCCCTGGGAACTAAGATTCCCCAGACCGAGGTTCTGACCACTACATCCAGCAAGCCCAACCAGATCAACATTGCCTTGCATTCCGGGTGCTGTAGTTTGACTGAGGACTGTCCCCTACAGGCTCATGCATTAGGGCACATGGTCCCCAGGGAGTGGTGCTGGTCAGGGATACAATGGACAAGTTAGAACATGGAGATGAGCCAGAAGAAGTGTGTCCCCGTGGGACAGGTCTCACGGGTCACATCTCAGATTTCTATTTGCTCTCTTCTTGGTGTGTGACATTGTGAGGAGTCTCACCTCCATGAATGACAGACTGTACCCTCTCAAACCATGAGCCCAAATAAAACAAAAACCATCCACTTAAGTTACTCCTTGTCAGCTCGGTCCCCACCAGAAAAGTCACTAGTACGCTGGACAAGGATGAGGCAGGCAATCGGCGTATGTTGGCAAAGAAATCAGATTGCATCTCTTAGCCCATGGCCACTGAGCTTACAGCCAAGAGCAGACACAGGAGCCCTGGGTGATAATATGGAGACCTGAATCATGGCACATGCTTTAAAGAGAGAGGGTTCCCGGCGGGTACCTCTGCTCCAGTGTCGTCATGTGGGTGTGGCTCTTGCTTTCTTCTTAGTCTTCTCATAGCTGCAAAGGGCTAGATTGATTGCATAACATGGCGCCTCACCAAAACGCTACACCAGGAGCTAAGAGGGAGGCATCTGGGACATTGAAATGGAGACTCAGAAAGTCACCAGCCCTGCCCCTGTTGGGGCTCCTCAAGGATACATCCCCAAGGAGGATGGCTTCACAGATGCCTCCTACCCACACTGACAACTTAGGCTCCTTTTATCCAAAGAGTGTGCATATCTCCATGGAGAGAAGGAACCATCTAGAAGGTGCCTGTTGTTTGCCATATGAAGGCTTTACCTGGACACTTCAGCATGTTAGAAGCACTGCAGTAGGGAACCAGGGACAGCCTGCAGAGTAGGAGCTCATGCGCACTTAGTGAGACGGGGGCATCCTGGCTCCGTGGCTCTGTGACTCTGAGTGTACCAAGTGCTTCCTCTCTCAGGCCACAAGGGCCTGAAGCTGTCAGATCATATCACCTTCAGTTCACACAGAGGTCGAAGCAGAGGCAGTCACCTCCTCCTCCTCCTTGAAATGAGGTGCGGGGGTGGGGGGCTACATGGATCAGGCAGAATGGGACAGGCTAGCCTTGCAGACCTCACAGGCTCCAGGCTCCTGCCTACCAGTGTCTAGATGCATCCAGTGAGATGGCTCAGCCCCCGTCATGGCCATACTACGATGAACACAGAATGTCATGCCCAGTGATGCTCAACACTGACTTTTAACCTGCTGAGGATGTCCACAGCTGTGCCTCTGTAGAGGTGGGAGGTTCTCAGCCGTGGGGCTAGAGAATAGCTTCTACAGGGAAATATATACCAAGTGTGGGTGGGGGCTGGAAGCTCTCTCTCTTGTGAGTGGAAGGTAGAGAGCATGATGGCACTAAAACCAGTGAGTTGGCATGTCAATAAATAATACTCTTAACCAAGTCTGCAATCCAGCTGTGACTGGTCTGGATGACCATGGCTACCCAAAGGGGAGGGAGCCTGTGTGACAAATCCAGGGTTTGGAATGATTGATAGCCTCGGGCATACAGGAACTGTTGGGCTAGTGAGTGATTGCCTCTGTTCCCTGCAAATTTGGTAGTCAAGGTTCATACGGATAGCCTGAAGTTCAACTTCCCCACCCACTCAAATAGGAGGCAGATAACACAGGGCAGTGGCTCCTCACTTCATGTGAACATTAAAGCCCATCTCTGCCAACTGATGTCCAGGCTCAGGGCAGTGACTCATTTTAATTGTGTCTCTGAGTGTTCAGGAGACCCTATGAAGAATTACTTGTCACTGCAAAGCTAACCAGCTGTTGGATACAAGTCAGTACCAATTCTCCCGGAATAGCTTGTCAAACAACTGTTTGTAACAAGATAGATTAGAAACAAGGGCTTCCTCACACAAGCATCAGAGCAGTGAGTAGCCAGTGTTGCGCCTGAGCTGTGGGCATCCGTGGCTCTGCCAAGAGCTGCCACTGTCCCGGTGTTTCTGTGAGGGGGCCCAGTGACGCAACTGCTGACAACCGCTCCGTGGCGTGATTAAAGGCTTTTCATTGTAGATTTGAGAGAGAGAGAGAGAGAGAACCTCTAGAGGCATCTGGAAGAGTCTAGAGCAGAGGGAAAAAGAAGTAGACTGAATATGGCCAGGGCTAGGGTAGAGGGAGAGTGGGAGAGAATAGCGGAGATGGCGGGGTAGCGAGAGATAGAGACTAGAGCAGAGAGAGAGAGAGAATAAGAGTGGGCAAGAGGATGAAAGTGGGAGTATCTGGGTTATAAGGGGGATGACTATCTGCGTGGGGGTGACCCCACGAGCTGGAGGGAGTTAAGGGTACAGGAGGAGATGAAAAGGGCAGGATGCTAGCATGGACTTTGAAGTGTGTATCAGGTGCTTGTGATACTGAGGGAGCCTAGAAGGTCAGCACGGGCTTTGATACCCTGATAGGGTCCTCAGGTAGCCATGCCAGGAGTAAAGGAAATGACTCCCTTTGACAGGTGGGAACCATTTTCACAAGCTCCTCGGGAATGCTGGCTTTCTTCTAACAGCCAGAGCCCCTCCTATAGTCCGGTTGGGCTCGTTTCTGTATATTTGGACTGCCTTTGGGGGGTTTGGGGACCAGGAGTTCCCTTTGGACCTGACTGTAGATCTATAGTTACACAGACCTCAGGAGCATCACTTGTGCTGTGTGTACAATTGTGGAGTCATCGTGGCAGTTTCTTGTGGGTGATGGTAAAATGTTCTGCGGAGCAGAAACAGTTCTTGATTCACACAAAGCATGCTTACCCAAGGTTAATCGATGACCCAAGACGGATGCTGAGGTTCCAGCTATCATGTCCGCCACCCTTGACTACAGAAAGGAAAGTGGGCAGAAATAAAATAAAAGAAACTTGAGAGCATACCTCGTTGATAAAGTTTCTTTAAAGGAAGAGGAGGAAGGGGGCAGGAGGGGGGGGTGGCCAGTGACATGGCTCATCCTGTAAAAGTTCTTGCTACCAAGTCTGACCTGGGTCCCCATGGTGGAAAGAGAGAACTGACTCCTAGAACTTCTTTCCTCACCTCCCCTACACACACACACACACCACACACCATACACACACACACACACACACACCATACACACACACCATACACACACACCATACACACACACACACACACCATACACACACACCATACACACACCACACACACACACACCACACACACACACCTACACACACACCACACACACCACACACCACACACACACACACACACATACACACACACCATACACACACACCATACACACACACCATACACACACACACACCACACACACACACCTACACACACACCACACACACATACACACACACACACCACACACACACACACATACCACACACACACACACACACACCACACACACACACACACACACACACACACACACACACACACACACACACACACACACACACCACACACACACCTACACACACCACACACACACCACACACACACACCACACACACACCTACACACACCACACACACACACATACACACACCACACACACACACACCACACACACACACCACACACACACACACCACACACCACACACACACACACACACCACACACACACACCTACACACACCACACACACACATACACACCACACACACACACACACACACACACACACACACAGGTACACATGCACTTCACTGCCCCAACAGTAAATAAATAAATAAATGAAAAGGTAAAGTAAAATAACAAGCCTCCTGCCAGCTCTCACCAATATTTATGTCGCTACCCTCCTCACTGCAAGGCAGTCTCAGGTGGGCAGACATCACTCCCAGGGACACAGGGGTATGTTAGAGAAGAAGGAAGGGAACCATGTGGCCACATAGCTCACCTGTGAGTCTGAATTCAGTGGCGCTGTGCACAGAGATCCTCACACCTTGTCTAACTTGGGGAGGAGGCTGAGGTCTCTGAATGACCTTTCTGTTCTTCATTACAGATCTGGTTCTACACCAATAGCATCTTTGGGAAAGCTGGGATCCCTCAGGACAAGATTCCATACATCACCCTGAGCACTGGTGGAATTGAGACGCTAGCTGCCATCTTCTCTGTAAGTCACCAAGGGCTCCCGAGAATGCCCCAGGAGCGAAATGGCACACAGGCACCCAGGGAAACTAACAGGGCTTGCTTCATGAGGGGGGGCCTTGTCAAGGGGCCCTGTCTGGATTTGAGAGAGGCTCAGGCTCCATGACCCGTCACCCACCTAGGCTCTTTCTCTCTGTATCTCCATTCCTCCTGTCTCCAATCAAAACAAACCAAATCCTAGCCGTAGCTGTGTGATGTTGGATGCTGTGTTCAATTTCCCTGAGCCTTGGCTTCTTAAAGATGCTCTCAAGTCTGTCTTCTCATGGGAGTGTGGTGTGTGCTTCATTCTATAGACATTCAGTACCCCTGGGGCTCTTCAGAAATGAAAGAGGGAGAAACTGACATCTCTGACATGGCAGAGTGTGTGTTCTGACCTTGAAAGCGATGCTCAGGCCTTCAGTCTCCCCCGCTGATCTCCACCGACAAGGGTGATGTCAGCACAACCGTGCCGATTCTGCATCCCACTGCATCTCCTTACCTTCCCGGATTGTTCTAACAAGCTTCTTCTTAAAAACGGGTACCAATAAACATGTAGACGAGTGATGGATGCGTTTTGTTAGAGGGAAAGCATTCCAGTGTTCTGCCAACCATGAGCATCACCAAACCCCATCTCCAGCTGTAGGCTGCAAAATCCCACTACTAATTCTGACTTTGATCAACAGAACTCAGTCAGTCTGGGGTAGAAATGGCAGAGGAAGCAGAAGAGGTTTGGAATTTGGGTTTTTGTTTTGGTTTGGTTTTTGTTGCTATAAGAAACCAATACCAACTTATTAGGGTACATCTATGAAAATCCAGGAAAACTTGAAAGAATGAAAATTCCCTCCAATCAGGCTGTTCAGGTGGCCTGGGAAATGCCAGCTCATCTCTACTCTGTATCCAGCCTTGCTCTGTTCCTGGAAGGCAGTGACTATGTCTACATCCTAGCTGCCAGGGTCCTGCCTTTCTAACAGCGGCTGGTGCAGAATGACTTCCCTCCTACTATTGATCTGGCGGGTTTAATGGGGTGCACCATATAGCCAGAAAAGAGTCTTATGAGAATTAGCTCTGGTGATGAAGGCTCTATCTGCTCTCCAAAGCCCATGAGCCATCCCGTCTTGGCTTCTGCCCATCTCTTCTCAGAACATGGGTGGTCTGTGTTCCCATGCCAGCTCCACTTCAAGTCCTTGTGTCCTTGCAGAGAAGAACATAGCAGGGACACTGTGTGTGTGTGTTTGTGTGTGTGTGCGCGCGTGCGCGTGCGAGCGCACGTGTGTTCAGAACTGGACAGCTCTATATTTCATCTGGGACATCCACTTACCAGCAGGCTGGGGAAATAGCCATATATCTCTGAATGGATTTGCATATTTATAACATTAGCTTTTAACCCTTGCCATCTGTGGCAGGTAAAATTAATGGATCCCAAAGATCTGCAGGTCTTGAGATTGTGTCAAAGGGGACTTCACAGGTGGGAGGAAGGACCTTGAGCTGTGGAGGTCCCCTGCTTATCTGGGCAGCCAATGAACCTTTGACATGACAAAAGGTCAATGAACAGCAGGTGAGGTCAGGATGTAAGGGTTACCATGGTTACCTGGCCTGAAAGATGAAGAAGGGGTAGGGACATAGAACCCATGAGGCTTCTGGGAACTGGGAAAGCCAGTCCTTTCTTCCCCAGCCTCCACTGTGAGTTTTGTCCTGTGATACCTGCTCTGGACCTGTGGCTGCCCAAGCCATAAACTGCTACCTTTGAGTTGTTTTAAGCTGCTTGTTAAAGTAATGACAAGATACTTTAACTCTGCAAAAAAGGGTTGTCATGGAAACAAAAATCAAAGCCTATGGCAGCTCCTTCTCCTCCCCCAAACTCAACATTCTCCAAGTCCTCTGCTCTTTCTAAAGTTTATGTAACCTGCTTTTCAGGGCCACTCAGACTTTGTCCAACCCCTCGAGGTAATTTCCTGTCAATAAAGGGCTCCCTGATTATTTTTTCCACTCTCTTTACTGAGGTTTTTGACACTCTATAAAATGACTCTGAGGCGTAATAAAACCGAGGAGAAAAGACTCTCGTTCTTTTGATCTGGGGTTAATTTGGGCAGCAGCCATCATCCAGCAGCTTGCTGGCTGTAAATAATTGCCATCTTGTAGAACAGCTGGCTTTTCGGGGCTGTGTTTTGGGGGCTGCAACTGTGCTGTTCAGATGAGTGAATTCCCATGGAGTGTCATTCACCCATGAGGATGACCATGTGGTGTGGACAGAGCCATGGGAAGCCAGCTCTACCTCTGGTAGGAGGCATGGACTCTGCTTTTAAAAGCCAGGATCAGGATCCACAGCAAAGTGGTTTTGCTTGTGGCAGCGCAGGCTATACTATGTTGAACTAAACACACATCTTTAAGGGTTTCCAAACTTCCCAGTGTTCCTGAAATTTCAGTGTCACTGTCTTCATTCTCTGTGGCCAAAATGTGAGATACTGGATCTAATGTGTGCAGAGCGTGAAGGTCAGGGTGACAGGGGACAGCAAGGGCTTCTTTGGACTCGGTGCTCCCCTGGCCATGTTGCTGTTCACCACCTGGGTAACTTTGAGACCCGATGCCCAGGTTTTTCTGACCTCTTCTCCCCCCCCCCCCACACACACTTTCTTCTTTGGGAGTAGTGGTGATAATGTCATCCCAACAGGTACTGCTGAGGACCGCACTGAGCCCAATGGAGACTCAGCGACCTGTCGATTGTGACATGACTCCCTAGAACTCACATGCTGGGATCCCCAAATCCCTCCCAGTGTGACCTCATTTGGAGACAGGTCATTGCAGGTGTTGTTAGTTAAACTAGGATTGGATAATAATACTGGAGTGGGTTGAGCCCACAAATTCATTACGCCTTTACAAAAAGGGAAATTTTGGACACAGACATGTCCAGGGAGAGCACCACGTGGATACTTGAGTCTTGATGTTAAAAGGAAAGGACAGCAGAATGCAGGAGAAGGTCAAGGCGCATCTCAGATGGCAGGAGAGGGTTTGAGGCAGGCCCTCAGAAGGCAGGGCGGGGCTCCCCTGCACCCTCGCAGGGAATAGGCTTTGCGGGTACCTTGATCTTGGATTTACAGCTGAGAAAGTGAGGAAGATCCCTGCTGTCTGAGCCCTTCTGTGTGTAGTACACCTACCACTGCTGCTGTGGGAACTTATGCAATGGTTATCTGAGACTGAGTCCGAGTTCACAGAGCAAAGCGTAGAGGAGCTCAGCAGGGGAGACACCCCATCAGGTAAAAACAGAGCCAGACATCCGTGTTGGTCCCCACCTACTCCCTGCAGGTGTGACCTCCTCTGAGCTGGACAGTTCTGAGAGTTAGAACTGGGCAAGACGCTTAGGGCTTGCAGATCTGTCTGTTTTGCCCTGTGGAAAGTTCATCCCTGCATGACAGTGAGATGTTGGTTTTAGAAACTACTCTGCCCCTCCCAGGCTGAGTCTTTCCCAATCCTGATTCCCAGGCTTCTGGTTCTTGCCTGGCTGATGGGATGCTTAAGGAATGTTGTACCCAGTGCCCCAGCAACCTCAGGGAAGTACCCTGTCTACTTTTGCAATCTGGTTGAAATCTCTCAAGCTTATCCCTCTTAGAGACCATGCCCCCCCCCCCACACACACCCTGGGAGTGACGTCAGTGAAGAGGTAATGCCTGGTCACTCACGCTTTTGCTGTGGATGCATAAACGGTCATAGAGGAGAAAAGTTTACAAAACTGGGATAAGCAGAGATTTCTTCGATTAGATGCACAACCATGAACCATTTTTAAAATTAATAAATTGGATTTTGTCAGAAATTTAACTTGCGACCATTTAAAAGACGTGGCTGAGAAAGTGAAAAGGCAAGCCTGACAGGGAGCTTGTGTCCTGAATATGTAAAGAATCCTGGGAACTCGAGAAGAACTGCACTCTGAAGGTATCTGAACAGAACTTTCCCAAGGGAAATCCTCAAAGGTCAAAAAGCACAGGAGAAAGTTCTCAGTACTATCAGGGGAGGTAAAATGCACAATAAGATCCTGTCATTCTCCACAAGGATAGGCAAAATTTACATCCTGACAATTCCAAATGTTGCCAAGGAAATGGAGCAACGGGGACTCTCAACACTGCTGCTAGGAGTTGAAAGTCACATTACCCTCTTCAGGGAATGTTTCTGACAGTTACCCATTCACTCACCACCCCACTCACAAGTATTTACCCAAGAGAAACAAAACCCATGTCTACATAGAGACTCATACGCTGGTGTTCTTAACAGCTTTGTGTATGAGAGGCCAAACCCAGAAGCAACCCCTTGTCCATCAACAGATGCATGGAGAAAAGCTGTGGTATGTCCGCCCAGTGGAATATTGCTCATCCTCAAAAACAAAGAACGGTTCGTGTGTATCACAAACAAGATGGATAGGTCTCACAAGGGCTACAAAGGTTTGTGTGAAATTCTAAAACTGGTGCTAGAAAGTGGATCAGGGCTGTGTGGAGCTGAGATGGGATCATAGAGAGACAATTGGTGGTAGTGGGATATAGTTTCTATATCTCATTTGCGGTTGTGGTAACAATGTAAATTTGTGGAGAAAAATATTAGGCTGCAGAATTAAAATGAGGACACTTCATTGAACAAAACTCAGCAAAGTTGATTTTTAAAATCATAAACAGAAACATGTTGCCATTGCTGCCTGCTCAAAGGTCCCAGCACATTGTGGGAGAGATGGTGGCCGCAGAGGGGACCTTACAGTTCAGAGTCTCCAGAGGGGCTTCTCAGCACCAGAAGCCTGGCTGTTGGCTCCTAGCTGACATCAGAACCCTTGAAGCGCAGCTGTTCATCTTGAGTTAGTGTCTTCCCTGGTGGCTTTAGTCTGGAGTAGGAATACCCTGTCACCCTAATCCCTTCAGACAGGCTGAGCTGCAGTATACCTTGGAGGAGAGAGAGCACACTGGTGCCCAGGCCAGGCAGGCCTGGAGCAGGGGAGAGCTGCCTCCTCACTCC